GAATAATTACTACTAGTATATTTAATGTCATGTGTGTGACCATACACAAAGTGTGAACTCAGGAGTGCGTTTAATAATTAGATCCATGGCATTCTTTGGTGTAGGTACCTTACCTTGGTATCCTATTCCCTTTCTGCCGTTTCTGCTAACTCCATAGATCATTGAAGCCATTTTGCTTCTATCTATGCTTTTAGCAAGGAACTTCTGAAAGTTGTGATCATACTCCTTGATGATCTCATCAGCACTGCTGGGAGTTTCAAAAATTGTTTCCTTCTGAGAGTTTTGTAAAAGATTTTCTAATTTTGAAATTTTATTTTTCAACTCAGAATTTTCCAATTTAAGACTCTCAGTTTTATCAGAGTCAGAATCAAGATTCCTTTTCAGGTTTCTGAATTTAACTCTGATCTGCTGATATCTTTCCAGAATTTCGTTAAGGCTTTCAGCAAGTTCAGCCTTAGTAAAATTAATTGCAAAGTCAGGGAATACCTCTTCGGTGTCTGATTCAGAGTCTGATTCAGAAGCTTCACTATCTTCTGATATGTTAGCCATGAGAGCTATGTTTGCTCTATCATCATCTGATTATGAGTCGGCTTCAGACGAGTCAGAGTCATCCCATGTAGCCATGAGACTCTTCTTCTTTTCCCTTCCAAACTTCTTTTTGGGCTTTTCCCTCTGAAGCTTTGGACAATCACTCTTGTAGTGTCCTTGCTCGTTGCATTCATAGCAGATGATGTCCTTGGTGTTTGGCTTTCTGCTTCCTGACGAGCCTTCAGATCTTCTGTATCCAGAGGAGGAGTCTGACCTTCTGTATTTGGAGGAGGACTCATTCTGACCGGACCTTCTGGTATTCCTGAACTTTCTTTGCCTCTGCTTCCATAGTTGGTTCACTCTTCTGGAGAGGAGGGAAAGTTCGTCTTCTTCTGATGAGGACCCATCAGAGGTTTCTTCAACAGCCTGCAAAACTTTGGAGTCGGATTTTCTGTTAGATTTTAAGGCTAAAGGCTTACCTTGCTTCTGAGGTTCATCAGCTTCTAGCTCTATCTCGTGACTTCTGAGGGAGCTGATAAGTTCCTCCAGAGAGATTTTGTTTAGATCTTTAGCTAGCTTCAACGCTGTAACCATTGGCCTCCACTGTTTTGGAAAGCTTCTGATGATCTTCTTGACATGATCAATAGTAGAATACCCTTTGTCCAGAACTTTGAGACCAGCCACCAGAATTTGGAATCCTGAGAACATCGTTTCAATTGATTCACTTTCTTCCATTTTGAATGCCTCATACTTCTGAATGAGCGCAAGAGCTTTAGTTTCTTTGACCTGAATGTTGCCTTCATGCGTCATTCTGAGCGAGTCAAACATACTCTTTACAGTGTCTCTGTTAGATATCTTTTCATATTCAGCGTAAGAGATGGCGCTGAGAAGAATAGTTCTGGCCTTGTGGTGATTTTTGAAGTCACGCTTTTGTTGATCAGACATTGCCTTCCTGTCAATCTTCTGACCAATTGCATTTACTGGGTGCGTGTATCCATCTGTCACCATGTCCCACAGATCAGCATCATGTGCCAGAAAGAAGCTTTCTCTTCTGTCTTTCCAGTAATCAAAATTCTCTCCATCAAAGACTGGAGGTTTGCCGCTGAATCTGTCTCTATCCTCATTGTTGTCATTGCTGGTGTGTTGATATGTTCCTGCCATTGTGTTTTTCTGACGCTGGATCTTGTACTGACACGGTTAAGTGTTTTAGCTCAGAACCAGGCGCTCTGATGCCAATTGAAAAAGTGAAAAACACAAGAAGGGGGGTTGAATTGTAAAACTTGAAATCAAATGCAGACAACACGTTATTTTTATCCTGGTTCGTTTGATCTCAAACTACTCCAGTCCATCCGTCAAGGTGATTTCGCCTCTCTCCAACGAGGTCTTAATCCATTATATTCAAGTGAATATTACAACTGCTTTAACAACTGCTAAAGCCTTCTTGAGTCTAAACCACAGACCGGTTTCTCAAGGAAATTCTTTCTTACAGATAAATGAATACTATGTGTGGAATGTTTTCTACAAAAACTTTATATCACAACTGTGATAATACACAATTTAAGCTTATGTAAAACTAGGATGCTATAACTATAGAGTAAGCAATTTGAGAGATATAGCAAACTGTATGAGTGAGGATGAAGATGATTTTCTTTATGCGTGTGAAGAGTTATAGAGCATTAGCCAATTCATTTCTCACTGACTTATTTATATAGCCTTGGAAAAGATACTTTGTAGTCAATTATTCCATTTCAATGCCCATTACGTTCTTTCCATATTGAGAAGATCTTTGTCTTGGAATACAGCTGTTGGTAATAAAGTGTCTTGAATGCACAGTACCGTTGTCAATTAAGCGTGTTGATTGACTTTGGCTTATTCTGACGCTTCTAGGTGCTGATGATATTGTTTTGGTCTTGATCAGAGTTTAGAGTATGTTACGCGCAGATCTGTTCATCAAGCTTCAGCGTAAGCACATGCTTTGATCTTTTGATGCTGGCATATGATATTTCATCTTCTGATGCTGGCATATGATATTTCATCTTCTGATGCTGATGTTGACATTCTTATGCTGATATCCATCAGAGTTTCTGTAAATGCACAATATAATTTTTAGGTAGCATATATGTCTCATATGAATTATATAATTTATTTAATCTAGCATTTTGTTATCATCAAAACTTTAACTTAGGGTAGTAGATTCAAACAATGTTCTAACACAGCACGGCGTTGGCAGCAGAGAAAGGGGAAAGTGCGAAAATATAAAAGGGAATAATGGGCCTTGAAGCGCCATTTATAGGGCTGACGTGGAATGCGAAACGTCGCGTCTGGAAGCTCATAAGCCGCCTTTCTCCTTGACACCTACGTGCTCAGTTAATGATGACCCCTATTTCCTAGGCCATCATTGCTATCTCAAAGGTCACGCCACGTGGCTGACAGATGCGCTATCTCCTCCCCGCGAGTCGAGAAACAATTAGAACAATTCTACCTTGAATCCTTTCCGAACTCTGCTCGGGTAAACAACGTACCGACGACACTCTCTGTCAAATTCAATGAAAGCCCCACGTCGAGCAGCTCGCCTCGCGAAAGTAAAAGCTGGACATTAAGTCATAACTCCTTCATCAGGTGCAACGACTTGGGGGCTCCTGTTCTGGACTGGGTCTGCCCTTGGCCCAACTCCATGTGAGGCCCAATCCAATTATGTCGTTCAAAGCATGCTGGAAAATTCTGCCCTCGACTGAGTCGGGCAACAACTACTCTCCATGAGGAAACGGCCTCACCACACGGGGATGAACCCAGTTACCCTTAGGAAGACCACCACCGCTCAGGAGGACCTCGATGTCACACTCCAATCCTCTCCTCGACCAATAATGGTCCTATCACACGATCTCACGATCAGTGTGAGTATCCACGACGAGCAGAAGCACCTCACGAGCATACTCCTCGTAGGGCTGACTATCAACGCCTCTGAGTATCACGGAGTCTTTGTGGTCCCGAAAAGATCACTTCCATATCCTCCTGATCTTGCGGAGGAAGTCATCCAGGTAGGGGATCACGCGCGGGTTCCCACTACTCACGTAGGACCTGACAGTCTCCACGTTGGGCCTGCTTGACCAGCCTAATAAGGAGACTTTGGTCCAGCGCTGTGGGCTATAAATACTCCCTCCTACCAAAGGGTCAGGTATTGAACACTTCTGACTCACTTGCTTGCTTGCTCATTCCGGAACTTACTTTGTTATCAGAGTGTCTTACAGGTACCCCCCACCTCACTCTCAAATTCTGCTCGGAGCAAGTTGTGACGGTGCATTCTAGTCAGCTATGATCAATAACAAACATAATTTTTTTTGGAGATTTAGGGTCTGTTTGTTTCAGTTTTAAAAAATGGATTTTCTTTCATTATATTTTCAAAAAGGATTTTATGAAATTGTTTTTCAAAATATTACAAATTTTTTTATATTTTTTTTCTTCTAAATTGAAAGACTAATTTTGATATCTTATAACATTAACATATATTATTGAAGATCAAAATATAATCGAAATCACAGATTTTTAAAAAATAATAATTTAAAAATGATATTTATGAAAATTTATTTGAAATAGTTTTAAAATTAAGTGATTTTTTAAAATTTTAATATTAAAAAATAATATCACTAAAATAATAAAATATCTAAAATAATATTTTAAAAATAACTATTCAAATTAAATTTTTTATTTATAGCATTTAAGAAAAAAAATTATAAATTTTTTTACACTAAATTATATTACACTATAAAAATTATTTTAAAAAATTCAAAACAAACCGATCTTAATCTCATTTATTGTTTAAAATAATAAAATAAAAGTTCTAGATAAAATTATGTTATTTGTTTTCGTTGTTTCTATCTTAATTGTTTCATTCTAATTCAACATTGAATTGTTGTAAAAGCAAAATCAAACAATAAACAAGAATTATTTTAAATTTAATATGTTAATATTGATTTGTAGATTAGATTTAGTTCAAATCTTAAATAAAAGTTATATCAATTTGATTTGATTTAAATAATTTTAGTCACTTTTAAAATAGATTAATATAACTTTTACTTGGTAAATAAATATAATGACAGAAAACATAACCAAACAATTTAAGTTTGGGAAAATTATTTTAGTCAAATAGAAAATATTAGTCTAAGAAAAAGTTAAGTGGTGAAAGAATATTTAGGAAGGCAAATTAGTAATTTGGTAATAGAACCAACAACAACGTGTTTTTGCCGCATAAATTTTAATTTACTTTAATTATTGAAAATCAAAGCAAAAATCAACTCCTTCTTCCCTATATATATGCCGTCAAAGCCGCTCCAAACTTGTGCAAATTTCCTCTCTCTTCCTCTCTCTTCCTCTCAACCACAAAATCACTTTCACAAATCAAAATCTCTTTCACAAATCAAAATCTCAACAATCTCTTCAAATTCTCGGAAAGTCTCTCATCTCTCAACCGCAGTATGAAGAAATCCGGCCTCTTCGCTGCCTCCGTCGCCGCCGCATCCGCCACCGCCGTCTCCGTTTCATCTTCCACGCACAACTCTCATCATCAGGTACCTACATACTTTAGAATTTTTTCTTTACCTCTAAACCTTAGATCTGGTGATTTCTTGAATGTAAATTGATTTTGTTTTTTTGAAATTTGTGTTTTCAGGACGGCACGGCTGAGAGAAGAGGTCGCGATGAGGTTTCTTCGTCGGAGAAATTTGCACCGCGATTCGATGGTTTGCGGTTCATAGAAACGCTGATAACTGCTCATAGATGAAAACGGTTAGGGTTTCACCTATTTATTCACCGATTCGGGGTCCGTCTGTTTCTTCGTCTTGTGTGGTTTAGAGAAGAAGATTTCACTTGTTGGAAATATTTCTTTTTAGTTTTTTTTTCTTTAGAATTAATAGCAGAAACAGAAGAACAAAATATTTGTGATGTTACATTATTTGGTGCTTTTCTTTTTTGTAACCCTACTTGAAACTTGATGGGTAATGAAAGATAAAAGTATAAGGTTTTGGGTGGTTATTTTTGTGCTTATATTTTTATTTTATTTATATTTTTTCCTTGCTTTATATTTATAAAAAAAAAATAGATTTTAGGTTTTTTTACGAACTATTAATGGTTTACAATGAAATTTACTTATGATTTTTCAATTAAAAAGTTTCAGATTTGAAAGTCCCAATGGGTGTGAAAAGAAAATAAATTATGTTATCAAAACTTTAATTTGGGGTATTCCTATCCTTCCTTTTTAAGTTGATTTTATTAAAGTGCTGCACCGTCCACTTGTATGACCAAAGAAAGTGCATAATTGCTCGGAGAAAAATTCATTCACAAACATAAATTTTTTTTCTTACAAATAATTAATAAGAATAAAGAAAATATTTAATTCATTTAATATTTAATTTCTTTTTAAATTAATATTATGAGGTGGTTGTGATTATGAAGAAGAAAGAATTTTTTATTTTTTATTTTTTAATTAATAAAAAAATATGATTGGTTATTTTTAAAATAAAATGTTATGTTTGTGTGTATCTAAATTTTTTCCTAAGTGCTCATTTACATATAAAAAAACAGTTTTTAATTTAAAAAGGCAATTTTAGCCGATATTAATTAAGTGTCTTGGTTTGAGCTTGATCACAATATAGGTTGTCAATGGTATAGTTCAATGAGGAAATTAAATTGAATTATAGTAAAAATTTATTCGAATTGAACAAATTAATATTTGTGATCTAATTTATGCGGGGGATCGAGCTGAATCAAAATCATTAATTTAATATATTTTTTGAGATTTCATACTGAAGTGCCGACGTGTCAAATTATTACTAGAAGTTAAATTTTTCCAAATTTAATTTTTAGTTAAATGGTAGATAGAATTAAAGTAATGAAGGTAGTGAAAAATATTGCTTTTACAATAATGATGGTGATGGTTGGTTGTTTGGGATAATCTCCCTATATGCATGGAATATTCTTTTCAAACTAGTAAATTTTGTTGTTTGTGATGATGGAACAATTTTTATATATTTTGCCACTGTGCGTGGTGGATAAGCAAGCAAGCAGCTACTATCTGGTATATTCTTTTGTTTCGCGTGTAACAAAATTTCTGAATCTGATTCCCAAAAATAATTTATGAATCAAATAAGAATATGTGCAATTTGCCTAATTTCTTTTGTTTTGTTTTATTTTATGAAAGGAATTTTGATCACCATGTTTTCATGAAAGACCAGAAAGCCCTTAGGTGTGGTATGAGCTATTAAGCAATGATGTAATGTTATGGTTGTTACATGAAAAAATAAGTGTAAAATAAAGAGTAAACTAGAAGTTAAGTAATGCAAAATCAAATGATGTTTTGGTTCTCTTTTATAGTAGTTGTTATTACTTGTACATAATGGACGATTTCTTTCCCTTGTGTATTCAATAATATAATAATAATCAAATGATTAGAAGCTCTTCCCCTAATTTATATGAGTTTGTATTCAATGTTTATCTTATAAAAAGATATTAGACTGTGTACTCGTGGGATGCATGAGATTGGTATAATATATGTTGGAATTGGGTTTGTCGTCACTCTACAATACATAAAAGATAATAGTGAGCCCCTTAATAATACGATAAAAATCATTCGCCCCCAACCAAGTATAATAAGTTGTGTATTATTTAGCTTACTATATATTAATAAATAAATAACAATCATCAAAATATAAATAATCTCTACGTATTAGTTTTTTTTTTTAAAAAGTCAAAATAAAATATTTATTAAAGGCCATAACAAAAAAAAAATACAATTTAAAATTCTGAAGAAAAAAATATTAATAAAAAGCAATTTATATAATCGTTAATAAGATAAAAGATTTAATCTTCATAACTGATAATCATAATCGAAAGTAACATATTTCGACTTTAACCACTAAAACAATTACAATTGCTCCACTTTATTACGAAAATGTGTATATTTCGCTCTTTCCAGATAACTCAAATCACCGCGATAGTGTTAATTCAACCAAATATTTTTCGAAAAATCACCAATTACACCGTACTGCAATAGATGATCCCAAACCGTTCATTGGGATTCTCTACGGAACTTTAACCAATTAAGAACAATAGACCACATCCTATTAAATAAATCACATGTTACAAACAAATTATCTTTATCTTCTTCCACGCCACAATTTGCAACACATTTTTTATAATTCACGGCAAGAATCTACCTCCTAGTCAGATTATCCTTAGTCGGACTACAATCGAGTAACAACTGCTAGGCAAAAATAGATATCTTAAGTGACACAATTTTCAATCATAAAAAAAGGGAATAAGCCTTATGTTGTTTACGTCAATTTCAGACAAATTATTATAAACACGACTGACCGTGTGGCAAGAAGAGGAATGCAAACTCCAAACCAACGACCTTCTACGTCCACCTACAAAACAACTCAGATTAATCGCTCAATACACTCCCTCATTAACTCCTCTTCCCAAAAAAGCAACCTCATACACCATTTCCACGCTTCATCGTTCTCCCCCCATCCCAACTTGTTCATATATGCTATTATCACCATTTCTTATTCTCAACTAAATCAAACATCCTACTAAATATTACCATCAAAGACGTACCATCAAGCCTAGGATCTGTCCAATACAGAGTAGAAGACACATCTCCTATTCTTTGATTAATATTATCAAGCAACCACCCTTCATCAACCAACCTGACACCTCTCTTATGTTTTTCAAATTTTCCCACCAAACAGAACTACAACAACCCCTAAAACATAAGCACCCTTTCCTCACCATACCGAGCACACAAAACCCTATATCAAATTCTTCCCATCTCATTTGAAATTCTCCAACACCATTTACCTAGTAAGGATAAGTTAAGCTATTTCAATCTCCTAATCCCCAGACCTCTATTTTCTTTTCCTCACCATATCAAGCACACAAAATCCTATACCAAAATTTTCCCATCTCATTTAGAATTATCCAACACCATTTACCTAGTAAGGATAAGTTAAACTCCTTCAACCTCGTAATCACCAAACAGAAAACTAATAAATACTCCAAGAGCTATCATCCTTACTGCAGCAAGCTACTCTTGAGTATTTGTGTGTTACCCACGTGGAGGCAACATTCAAACGGAAAGAGTGAGTAATCATAATTCATTATATAAGATATAAGAAAAAGATTAACAGTACACCATCGTCATATCAACACACATCATTTATAAAAAAAACTCATACTCACACCTATGAGTCATAATAACACTTATACATCTTTCGTTATAAAAACCATCATATAATTACATAATTCACAAATATCATCATATCACATTTCATCAACAAAACTCATGAAAATGCCACATAGAATGTTAATGCAACAACAATTACTCAATGCATGTGGTAGTAAATTTAATGAACACCTGGTTCATCACCCTCCATGATCACCATCATAGGATCGATTCCCTCTTGGAAGCAGAGCAAGACATAAATCGCTACTACCATCATAGTAACTCTTCACTAAATCCCCAGACGAGGATCTATCTACTCGCACCCAATCCACATAATAGAATTGAGGCTCATCACAAGCAGACAATTGCCCAAAAATGCTATGAATGTATGATGCACAACAACGTCCATATAAGTTCGACCACAACTAGTCAATTGCATCATTATTAACATAAATCATCTTCATATAGCATTTATATACATTTGAACATGCACATCGTTAAAACATCATCACAGTACCATCATTAACATCACAACAACCTCATTGCAACAACACTCATTTTTCATCATTCACAACAAGACATCATATTGCAACATACATTTACACATCTTATAACACCATTACACATCATTTAAATTATTTCTATAAACATGAAACTATTTTTAAATTAAATTAAGTTTTCTAAGCTCTCTATAACTTCAAACAACGCATCAATCTGACACTCAAAACTCAAGTTATGAATTTTTGAAGTTTTACAAAAATCCTGCGATTTCCTTACGGGAATTTCACTCCAAAACTCTTTTTTTAAACTTAAACATATCCCATAACATGTCCAAATATCTTATTCAAAAATATATTATTATAGGTCAATTACCTACTGTTACTTTACTCTATATCTATCAACTAATATCTAATTTCACAAAATTTTGTCTGTTAAATCGATTTCACCATACAAATAAATGATTCAATTCATGGCATATCAATCATCATTATCAAATATTACATCATGGTATTCATTAAATCATATATAAGACAAAACCTACATCTATCTTAATCTCATATCAATCATAATAAACCCGATTACCCCCTTACCTCGAATTCTTAGCAGCTTTGATTTCTTCGAACCCTCGGGGATGAATCTCCTCTTATTTTCTCTATATGCCCTAGCCTCTTCTCAATTTCTCCAATTTTTCACGATCGTACATAATTACTTCTTTTTCCCTTATTTTATTTGTTACCCTTATACCCTTTCTATGATTTTCCCATTATGCCCTCACTTACACACATGCACTTACTCTTATGCCCTTATTCTCCTTTTTACCTTAATTTCCCATTCAATTATTATCATTATTTACTTGTAAACCAACTAACTACAATCTAACCACAACTAACCACATTTATTTAATCTAAATATTTCTAGGTTAATTTCTACTTCCCACCATTATCCTCACACATATCATCACACATCACATAAAATCAACAATAAATCACAAATAATCAACAGAATAGAGAAATCTATATTTTTGGGGTGTTACAATCTCCCCCACTTAAAGAATTTTC